CAAACCTTAATAAATATTGGTAGTTACTAAGAACCTATTCAATAATTTATAATTATTTAGTAAAGAAAAACATTCAAGAAATAATAGATTTTGTCAAACAAATCAAGTTTGACAAAAGTAAATCGGGCAGCGTTGCCAGATCTTCAATAGTTGAAGTCAAATTCTTTAACTAAACTGATTCTATTAAATTTTTTAAGTGTATAGATGATATTTGTCGGTATACTAGTACAAAGCATAAATAAAACTAGTATCAATTTAATTTATTTAGTTTATTTACAGAATACAAAAAATACAGTCACATTTGGCAACGCATTTGACAGTGGCGCCAAATTTGAAAGTTATTAGAAAATATTCAATTTCCAGGTGGTTCGCCCCCCGGGAGGCGTCCGAAACTCAAGATCTGAAACAAAACTCTTCACAATTGCCCCACTTGTGTTTTCCTCACCTAAATGTTCAAAATTCTCCAAATCGGCCAATTCCCTCACGTCCAAACTTTGACAATTTTTATAAAAATGCGGCGGCCATATTTCCGCGACGCCATTTTGAATCTCCGAGTCAAATTTCCAGTAAAAATCATGCATTTTTTTGATTTCATTGTACGAAACGTCGCTCTCTTGTAATAATAAAATGCAACAATTTCGCACTTCTTCACCTTTATTATAAAACTCTTTAATGGTCACATGGAGGGCTCGAATCAAGGCTATATCTTCATAAATCCCGCCTTCGCGAAGATCTTGCTTCTTTTTTTCCTCTTTTCGTCGATTTCTCGATGACAAGGTTGAAGATCGCGACCTGAAAACGTGACTTGTTTTTGGGACAAAATTTCGGGAAACTCACCTCGATGACCTTGAAGATTTCGAAATAGTGCTCCCAGCGTCGGAAAAAAGGTCATCCCGGTCGTCACAATCCTCCAAATCATTATTAAACTTATTAAATTTCAGTTGTCTGACTTGAGCCAACCTTTGTTTGTATTTCTTGTAACTGTCATTTAAAATTTGTAATTTCTCCTCCAAGTATATTTTATGCTTGATTAGCATCGGAATAACATCCGAGACTATAATATCACCCCGATTGTGTTTTGTCGCAATATGAATCGCCTCCTCGAAGAAACAACCCTCGATGAGGACTTTAACCGCCATTTCGTAGTTGTTTGCATAAAACTCGAACAAAATGGCGGCTTGTCGGACATTACTTGATACCAAACGCGTGGCTAAATCACTCACAATTGTCATTTTTTCGACTTTATCAACGCCCAAGTGTTGGAGAATATTCAAAACTTGGGGCCAATTTAAAGACAGTTGAAATTCGGTCAAAGCCTCCTCTAATAAACCCGCTCTTTTTAGGATAACCCCAGCTTCGTTGTGACACCCTTTCGAACTCAAATCACTCGCAAAAGCTCGAGTTACAATTTGGTAAAATCGGTTTTGTGGTGGACAAGTCTCGAAGGCTTCTCGACTCACATTATGTGTTTTAATGAAGGTTAAAATGTCACTTGGGGTGGTTTTGGGGCACCGCAAAAGATAAATAATGGTAGTTTTGGGTTTTTTCGCAAATAAATTAATCTCGTAGCGTTTTTCAACTTCGGTTAAACCGTTTAATTGTCTCAAATGGGGCTCATAAACACGGGGATCTAATTGACAACAACTGGCAATAAAACGAGCCAAATCTAAATCATACAACAACAAACACTCTGTATATAGTTTTTCGTGGTCGCATCCGTAAATTTTCAAAGTGTTAATGGCGCTTAAAAGCCTTTCTTTTAGGTTGGTACGCCTGTACAAGTCTTGTAAATAAATCAAGGCGTCTCTGACTGTGAAAAAATTCAAATTTATTGCCACTATTGTAGTGATATAAACGGAATAATCGACACTATCAAAATATTTAAATAAGTTTGTGAAAATCGTTGAAATTTTCTCGGGAAATTCGCTGGCTTTCCCCCAATTTTTGTAAATCGAGTTGAGGACGTTCCCCCCCTCAAATTCCAAACAAATCGCGTTTAGTTCATTTATCGTGTGAACCCCCCGCACAAACTGGTCGATTTGTCCCAAAAACCGGTCCGGATTTAAATCGAATAACAAATTTGCGTTTAATTTTTCCAAACGAATAAAACGCACTGCTTGGTCCCATTTTTGGTCGTTTAATAATTTATCGAGGATGTCGATCGAGATTAAACGACAAGAAATCGTTTCTAAATTCCCTCGAGGTAATTGCAAAACGATTTGAGACGATTGTGGGACCGCAGTCACGATTGTAGCCCCCTGTTCGACACTTCGCCGGTAATTTTCACCCCCTTGACCCAATCTGAGACAAAACAACTCATTTAATTTAGTAGTGTAGAGTAAATACGAGTCGAAAATCGTGAAAGAATTAACACAATCGCTGATTTTATTCTCGTTGAGGTAAAAATGGAAATTTGAGGTTAGGTTGCAAAAGTGGGTTTTGTCCCCGATTATTTTAATTTGGCAAAGAATTGAGTCATTTGTGTTGATGAATAAGTTACTTCCGAGTGGCTTTAAACCGGAAATGTTGTCATAATCCCGACTTATCACCAATAAATGTCTGAAATTATCAGTAATTGAGGTTACGAAATCCGGTTGGGGATTTTTCAAATCTAAGGAGTAAAAAACCGTTTCATTAGAGGAAATTGCAAAATAGATTTTTTCGTCGAGTAAGAAATGATGACAAGATAAGGGAAATTGTGGCAAATCCACTATTTTTTTCAAATCAATTGTTACCAAAACCGTGTCAGGGTTACCAACATTGAAAACTTTCAGACAATTATCACAGTCAACTGTCACAATTAAATCATCACGAAACGTAACGAAATTAATTTGTTTGTCGTTCGTGAAACTTCGGGCGTGGGAAATCGGGGGAATCACCGCGTTTTTGAAATCAGTCAAATTCACATTTTTCCCATCAATAACCCCACAAATTCCGGCCGAATTGTGATTAACAATGCTACGAAACGTGTAATTTATTATTTCATTTTGTGTGATCACTTGTAATTGGTTGGTTTCCAACCAATCGAAATCAATGAGAGGATTTTCGGCGGGAAATTCAAGCACTTGTTTCTCGTACCATTTGTAGTTACTTGAGGTCAATAAATGGATGCTTTGACAGGTGGGTGAGACAGTATGAATGGTAAAAATCTGGGCACAGGGACTCCATTTCAAGTTTTTGATCATAACCTAAAAAAACCTAATTCCCCCAGTTTCTGTCAAATTTCATTCTTACGTCAAATGTCAAGTCAAAATCAAATCTCCTTTGGCCGTTTTTTTCAAAAATGACGATTTTTTGGCGATTTGTGACCGACAGCCCCGCTATCATGTTCCCAAGTGGCCTCCACGCCACTGGGGGCTGCAACCCGGGACACTCCTCCGACCGGTACAACGCTCTACAGGGCGTCTCAAAAACAATAAACTGTCTTTTCTGGTCCTTCCAGTAGTTCACAACGAACATTTCTCCGTTTCCGCGCCACGAAATTCGGGGTTTTTGGTCAAAAACCGGTTTTGTGTCCACTAAAACGCCCGGAATAAAGTCGAGACAAGTGTGGGGGTGACTCACCCGGTGGCTGATCCTTGATTCTGCCCTCGGAGCCCCGAAATTGCGTATCTTTAGACCCCCAACCCACGTAAACCGTGTCGGGGATCCCCGCATCGGTGCTACTTGTACCTTGGGGAAAAACCTCGCCGTTTTCGTAGTCGACACAAAAAGTCGAGATTTCGCCATCGTGGAAGACAATCGCGACGAGTTCCTCCGTGGGGTTCCAACTGATTTCAATGATTTCTTTCCTAAATGGGATTTTGTTGATTTTTTCCGGAGGGGCGATTATGTACAAATCGGTCTTGACAACAACACAGATTTTATTCTCAATCACCAGAAATTTCAATTGGGACGCTTCGGCGAAAACAGGGGGGCCCAATTGAACAGTCTTACCACATGTTGGGTCATGACTGTGTAAAGAAGTATCACGGATGTAGTAAATAAATTGGGGCGTTTGAGACACTAGAGTCACATTAGTGAAGAGACCGGGGGCCCCGTTATGCACCAACTCGAGCAATTCTAAGTTCTTCATCGTTTTGGAAAAAATGAGGTTAGGTTTATATGCACCTGAGTTCGATTGTGCAAAAACTCTAATCAATGAAACGTAACAAATAAAATGAATTAAATTAATTTAAGATTATTTGTGACAATGCCAGTTTATGTCCGATAATTGAAACAAAATGAGAATTTCAGGAGTAGTAATAGTCGAAAATTGGCGTTCGATTGTGCACAAGGTCGAAAAAAAAAATTGAATATGATTTCAAAATGCTTTATTTGTATTATTTTCCTTATCTAATCACAATTTAATCTTAAGGTGTTTACACACCCGCGTAGGTCTTAATCCATGTCCTGTAAGCCGCAGTTCTGGTGTACGCCGATGGGTACCCTTTGGCACAACCCTGGGAACTACCGAAACTCACAATACCAACATGGACGGCATTGGATCCAGACCCAGTGACCAGTGGGCCACCACTATCACCCTAAAACCCCAAAAATCGTAAAAATTCCCTAAATTATTATACTTACATTGCAAGTACTTTGAATGGTACTGCCTTTGGCACAAACAATCCCTGATTGAATAATACCACCATAAGAGTTGGCACAAACCGTATTTGAGATGGTTGTTAAACCCACATAATTAAGGATTTGACTAACACTAGTCGCACTGTCGCTGGTTTTCCCCCAACCACTTACAGTGACCGAAACTCCACTTCCTAGGGTACTAGAACCCAGAGAAATGGTTTTTACGGTGCTTGATAGAGCTACAGATGATGACAATTGGATCAAAGCAATGTCATTAGCTAAAGTACTTGAAGAATAGTTAGGATGGCTAATAGCCCGACTTGCTTGAACTTGAACTCCCCCAGAACTCAAATTGATTAAACCCAAAGAAACCGTAATGGCTGTAACTCTGCAAAAAACAACATTTTGGTGAAATTGACAATTTTTAATGTCCTGTTTTTTATATTAATGTGCATGAAGTTTGTTATAAAAGTCTAAATGCACCTTAATCTAAAGGCTGATTCACACAAAAAGTGTCATTAATGTCATTCAGAGCACATCAATAATGACAAAAATCTTTATGTTTTCCACCCTATTGTTAATTCTGATTATTTTTTGCTGCTAGAATAGTATTTGAAAAAATAATTTTTTGAGAAGATTGAGGTTATGATTTGAATTTCGCATGGTTGCCACCTTAAAATGAAAACAGTTTATTATATATACCCTTGAGTGCAGTGGGCAGCTGTCAGAACGTAAGTTGGGGTAATAAGGGCGCCTCCGCAGAAAGAAGTACCCCCGGAAACCCTCAAAGAGAGGGCTGCCTGGTACGGGAATTGCCCTAGTGAAGCCGGGGAACCACTAATAATCCGATTACCGATCTCTCTAAATGGGAGGTAACGCGACGAAGTGGTGGCTGGAAGCGCCTAGAGAAATTTTAGTCGGTTGTAGAAAAAATAAACTACTTACTCCGGGCAAAAGCCGCTCAGTTGGTAAAGCAAAGGCCGAGGCCACGCCGAGGAGGAGTACAACCAAACGAAACATTTTCGAATTGTGATTTGTTTATTTACTAAACCACCGGTTTTTATACAGTTTTTGAGACGAGTAATTGACAATTTAAGGCTTTTCGGATTATGATGAGCGATTAATTCCTTTTAAAATTTAAGTCTCCCAATACAATGACTAGACATTTGTCTCAAATATGGATTAAAAGGTTATAAATAAATCTGGAGTTAAATATCTATTGTTTGTTACTTTCAAATGCCTGTTTTTTCTTTTACCCAATCAATAAAATAATAAGTGGGGGTAAAACCGGCATTCTCACAACTGTCAGGGTGTCCAACCTGGACCACCACTACCACCCTTACAGTTACTAAATAGAATACATGGTTATGTTCCAATGAGCTAGAGTGAGAGGCAATGATTTTTACTCCAAATATGGCGACGTAACTAGTCACTTTTTATTTTTCGCTCATTTTCCCCCAAAAAAATGACATTTCCGATTGACATTAACGATTTAACCTTTTTATTTTATTTATTTACAATCATTTTGAGTTTTGTTTAAAAAATGATGACAAGATAAGCAAAATTGTGATTTTTTCAACTCGATTGTCAGGGTCACCAACATTGTCTCAAATATGGATTAAAAGGTTATAAATAAATTTAGAGTTGTTTATTAGTTTCAAATGCCTGTGTTTTCCTTTATCCAATCAATAAAATAATAAGTGCGTGTAAAACCGGCAGGGTTGCCACTCTCACAACCGTCAGGGTGTCCAAAACTGACAATACCAACATGAACTGGTTCTGAATCGTTTGTCACTAGCGGACCACCACTGTCACCCTAAAACACATTTACTATTTGGGGGAAACCCAGAAATGTGTTTATTTCACCTCGCAAGTGCTTTGAACAATACTTCCGGGTCCTTTGGCACAAACAACTCCATCATTTAAAAACCCATAAGCAGAAGCACAATCAGAATCTGAAATTGTGACCAAATCAACGTACATTAAATCAGGACTGGCTTCTTCATTCCCTTTAATTAAAAAAAAAAGATAATTGGTCGATTTAGTGATGGGTTTTTATTTTACCATCACTGGTCAAGCCCCAGCCACTGATTGTGACCAAAGTACCATCTGTTAGTCCCTTTGATGGTAAAGAAACGGGTTGAATGTTATCTAAATGTCAATTAAAAATTAAATTTCACATTTTAAAACTTTTACCATTGAAAGAAACATCTTGGGGTAATGGTATAAGTCCAATGTCGTTAGCTAGAGTATTTTTATTGTAATTCTCGTGTAAAATGTATTTAGTTGTTTGGAAAACAACCCGTGATGAGTCATCTCCCTTGAGGCTATTTGAACCCAAAGCAATTTCAAATTTGCTAGCACTAAAAAACAGTCAATTTTGACCAAAAAAAAAAACACAAAAAATTACTCTTTAACGCAATGACCAGCTGTTAGAACCCATTTTTCGTTCAATAAAGCTCCTCCACATAAATTCGAAGCCCCAGGTTGGGTAACATAAATTGCCACTTGCCAAGGAAATTGCCCTTTTTCAGCCTTTTTGCCATTTATAATCCGGGGAACTTTTACAAATTATGAAACAATACCTTAGTGAAAAAATAATTACCTGGGATTATGTTAGCCCAAATTGGGGCAACAAAAAGCCACGCCAATAAAATCAACTGAGAAAAATGCATTTTATCACAAAGTGAATTTTATAAGAGGGAAATTGTTTTTATAGTTGATTTTTAACGATAAAAGGGATTGTTATCAATTTAAGTGTTCCGGGGATTGTTATTTTATTTTAAAGTTAAAAATTATCAATACTAACAATGCCGTGATTGATAAGATTACAACAAATAAAAGAAAAGAAGTTTTTTAGTCACTGATTAAATTAATTGCCCCTTAGATTTATGCACCCAACAATACTAAATTACAGTTCCCTGTAATACCATAGTGTAAACATGACTCCTTATCAGTTATCTTTCCGTAATTATGTGTATATTTACTGATCATGAGGCGTAATAGTGTTAATTTAATCGAAGTAAAGTCTTTTAGTGTAATTATTTCGTACAAATGTCTCAATTTTAGGTTATGTTTGAGTGGCTCAAACCATCACCTGTTTGGACCGGTGACCACAAAAATCTCCTCCTTTCGGAAGAAAACAACACAGAAGACATCCCAAACGTCAGTTTAAGCGAAATAATCGAGAAAAGTTCCCAATTCCCGATTAAATTCCCTATTGATACAATTCGTTGTTGCCAACTTAAGAATCACACAGAGGTAAAAACCCTAGAAAAAAATATAAATTCTGCTTATCCGGTGATTCACGAAAATGCCTTGTATCTATGCTCGACGTTTCTGCTACATCAGGAGAAATACGGGGAGAAAAAGGATTTTTATAAAGGAATGACCTTGTTGCAATTTATTGATAGGTTGCTGAGTAAGAGGGCCGTGGTTTTTATGGGGGCTGTCGATTATTACGTGTTGTTGGACAACAGAAGTGGCACTGGGAAGTGGGAAACAATCGGAACAACGAGCGAATCGCCCCCATTGGTTTTGGAAAATTGCCTGAGTTATGACGAAATAAAATTATCGGCTTTGTTGTCAGTCTCCTCGTTGAGTTACTTTATCAATGATGGAGACCGAAATAATTGTGGTCACTTTGAGGAAAATCGCGGAAAAGTTGAGGAAAATGGTGTGATTATTGGATTAATTGGTCCCCGACTTGAAAAATCTAGGGTAATGGAATATCGTGAGATTGTCATTAGTGAGGGACAAAACACCAGTTGCTATGGATACGGCCCGTCAGACGTGCCAACTTTGCAGCAGGAGTTTTTAAAATTCTATGGCGGTTTGAGTGAGACTTATGACCAGATTTTGGGCCAAATCAAGTCGAACCCTGAGCGATTTTTCGAATTTAGAAAAAACAAATATTTCGATCGGTTGATGTACCAAAAAAGACTTGCTTTATCGATTGACACTCTTTTGATAGAAGCCAACGATCGAGCCAAACAAGAACACAAAAAGGCTTATGTTCACGTCGTGGGCTTGGGTTTGGGTGTATGGAAAATAGCCAACCAACAAAACAAACTCTTTATGGACACATTTGCCCAACGACTCGAGTAATATACTTTTTTTTTTTGACCATTTTTTTTTTATAAAATAATTTCAGGCTACTTGAATTAGAACACATCAGTGACGTCCGTTTCGCCTACATTCACGAAACTTCAGCGGGGAAATACTCAAACGGTGACAAAGTCAAAGGAATCACGCTACATATGAGTGATAAAAATCCCCAGGAGAAACTAGTAGGGGAAGATGAGGGCAAACTGTTGGTAGTATCGTATCCCTGGGACGGTAATGCGTTACCCGGCAACGAATTTTGGACAGGGAGTTTGAACGGGAGTGGCGACCCTGCAGCAGCTTGCTCCACACAGGTGGCAGAACTGCACAATTGGCATATCAACCCCAAAGCCAGTGCCAGGAATTTGAGGGTTGCCACGTTCAAGGGGCTGTACACGTTTAAGGAGTACCAAGAGATGCACAAAAACGACTAATTGTTTGTTATATGAATTTTAATAAAATCTTAACCTCACTTTTTGACATTTAGTTCCTTTAACACAAAATTAAAAGAGCACCTATAAGTAAAATTTTTCTAAAAAATTAAAAACAATGTCTATTAAGCACTCGAAAAAACACAACACGCACTCACTAATTTTATTATTATTATTATTATTATTTGACCCGGCAAAAGAAGAAGAAACCATTTGGCAGATAATTATTTGAAGACTCAATTTTCTGACAAATAATTTCCACAACTTTTACTCTCCACTGACACGGCGGTTTAGATATGCAGTCAGGCAAGATTAATTACGGATATATTGCTGATAAATTGTTTGAAAAGAGATTAATGTAAAAAAAACAATCTAGCGTAACTGCAGATCTTCCGTCTCGCAACTTAATGAATTATTATTAATTAAGTTATTATTATTAATGTTATTAAAATAAATTTTGTTGATATTGAGACATTTTCTAACAATATTACAAGTTTTTAAAAAGTTTGTCTTTTGAATCGCAATAAATAAATTTGAATATAATTTTAAATAACAAGATTTTCTTTTAAATTGTTTGGTATGGTAACAGTCTTGTTTTCTACAAATTATGAAAAAGGATTTGAGAAATAACACATTTTATCTAAAATATAATTAATTCATATTCATAATTCAATAAATACTTACTGTTGCACTCAAAAATCACAAATTCACACACTTCACTTTGCAATAAACAAAAAAATAAAATATTAAAGTGCACTGACCTCATATGGCATCATCTTCTGCTACCATTTGTAGCGATTCCCCTCATCTTCATAGAACGGACCTACTGAAAATAAAGAAACCCAAAATCAGTATAACGTGTTGCTAAAGTTGTTTAAAATATTAAATACAATTTAATAGTGTGTTTTTTTTTAAATTTTGAATGTATTGCTGACTTACCCTTTAATCCGGATCCTTGTAGCACGATTGTCTTCTCCATTTCCTCCATTGGCACTCACTTATCACTCGTAATTTTTAAATCGCGCACTACTAAATGTTTATTAGCACTCGAAAATACACAACACGCACTCACTGGTCACCGAGTTTCGCACACTTCACTTTGCAATAAATAAAAATAAAATGTTCTGACCTTATATGGCATCATCTTCTGCTACCATTTGTAGCGATTCCCCTCATCTTCATAGCACGGACTTACTGAAATAAAAGAAATTCAAAATTAGTATAATTTGTTTGTAAATTAATTGAAAATTTTAAATACAATTTAATATGTGTAATTTCTCTAAAAAATCAAAAGGTATTGTTGACTTACCCTTTAATCCGGATCCTTGTAGCACGATTGTCTTCTCCATTTCCCCCATTGGCACTCACTTATCACTCGAAATTTTAAAATCGCGCACTACTAAATGTCTATTAGACACTCGAAACAACACGACACACGCGCACTGTGTGTACATCTCCCATTTCAACACGATTTCGCACAGAACCACCAAATAATAAGTTATAATTTATTCGGACAAGTGACTCGTACGAGAGCTCAGCTAAGACTGACTCGTTATTGTCATAATTTTCTCGAAAACGGCACAAAAACTATTTCGTAACAGTTCCGGTGTAAAATACAGGGTGTTTCACATAATTTGTAAGATGCAGTCAATAATACATATTCCGATACGAATTCGATTACAAATTTTGGAAAATTGGATTAACTCCTTTAGTTTGTACACCCTTTCAAAAATTACAACATTTTTAGTTGTTAGTTTGGGTGCCTACATTAGGCGCAAGCTTCGTAAAGTTATGTGAAACACCCTGTATTACCAAATTCTACGTCATCATTTTTTTCGTCCTTTACACAACAAAGGAACAAAGGGATTTTTAGTCGTACAAATACACATTTTTTCTAACGTGACGTCACGGAATTTAACCCAATCAAATCTTTCAAATCTCTGAAATTCAACCAATCAGATTCAAATTACGCGATAATGTCTGGGTAAGTCTACGTTATTTTGTGTGTATGACTTGCTATAATTCACCAACAATGTTAATACACACCATTTTTTGTGTGAATTATTGTTTTTATAACTTTAAAATCGGATATTTTTGACTTTATCACAAATTTTCTCGATAACTATTCATCGTAGAGCACTGAACTTTTTAATATATGATAGAAAATTCAATTTTCTATCCA